CCATTTTGATACATGCTGAACCAGTTTATTCATTTTAACTGTGCTGGATTATTTTATTGCACATATAAAGCAATTTATCTTTCTGTTTTCCTGCTGAGAGGCAGCGAGGCTCCTCTTTGGTTTTCTGTTACATACTAAGGGGCAATGAATATCTTTGCACACATTCTTTTGCATGAGTGTGAGTTTCCCTAGGATATTATAGAAAATACTCGGTGTCCCATCCAGGTGACTTTTACCAGCAAGCATATCCACTCTTACAGCTTTGAGTGCTAACAGCTAAGGGCTCCCTTCTTCAAACCTTCCTTGCCCACAAATTTATACCCCCCCATACGCCCCCTCCACCATGGGGTAGCCAGAGCTGATGACTAACTTACCCAGGGGGGGAAATATTGGTTCCCTGACTCAAGGCGATCAACGCTGTGAAGTCACTAAGACTCCTGAGCTCCCCATGGAATAAGATTTGAAGCTAATCTCCAACTGAGAACATGTCATCGCTTAGCATGTCTTGCCACCCTGTCTGCCATCGTCTCTCCCTTGCACCTGCGAGCTCTCCCTCAATAAATCATCTGCACAAGAATTCCTGTCTCAGGCCCCACCGAGGAAACTTAACCTACGAACCGCACACTTTCACGGTGGAGTTGACTGAGCCACAGATTTGCTCATCTTCAAGTTTACTAAGCATTTCCAAATCGCACTCCAAAGTAGTTGTACAAATTTACATTCCCATCAGCAGCTTATAAACAGGTATTTTCCCTATCCTCCATCAATACCACTGTTAGGCACTAATTTTGCCAGTTAGATTGGTGCAATATGCCATCTCATACTGTTTCAATTTGCATTTCCATGTTTACTAGCAATGTTAACACTCTTTTTTATATCTTTATTAGCTTTTCAAATTTTTTCCTTTTGCCCATTTCCTTATTGCTTTGGAAGGTTTTGGCAAATTGGTTCTTTGGAGTTTCTTTTTTTTTTTTAATTCTTTTGTAAACGAATTCTCTCCTGGTTACAACAGTTGCCAACGTATGCCCCCAGCCTGTGGCTTTAACACATCATCTTTTCTCATATGGAAATTCTTGATTTTAGTAAAATAAGACCCATCATCGCTTTCTTTTATCACGTATGCTTTTTTGTGTTTCATTTTCTACTCTAAGATAGCAGAGTTATTTTCCTCTGTTTTCTTTGAACTATTTTCTAGTTTGCTTTTTGCATGTAGGACTTTAATAAACCTAGAACCTTTATTTTGTGAGTGATGCCAGCAGGGATCCAATTTTACCTTTTGCCACTGGGGTATTCGATTGTCCAATGTCATCTGTTAACTAGACCACCTTCACTCTTTGCTGGGTTTCAGCTCTCACATGTATTCGGATCTGTTGCTAGGTGTCATTCTTTTAACTGCTGTTCTATTTCTGGGACCCAATCAAACTATTTTAATTATTAGAACTTCACAGAACTATTGACATCTGGTTGGATGAGATGCCCTTCTTCTTTTTCTTTCTTTTTCAAAATTGCCTTGGCTATTCTGAGTTCTTTATTATTCCATATACATTTTGAGATGACCTTGTCAAGTTTCAGGGAAAACT